GCATCGCTTCTTTCCGGCCTTGGCATCGCCGCCAAAGAGGCGGCACTCAGTCAACACGGCGCTGGAGAGGCTCGCGCGCCAGTAGCCGGTTGGGACGCCAAGGGCCTCGAGAGTGGTGTTGGGCGAGCTGCAGTCGGCGTTTGGCGGGCACGGCTTGCAGTAGTCGGTCGGGGAGGAATAGATCTCGGCCGGGTCGGCGCTCTTGAGCAGGTAGAAGTCCTTCTGGCAGACGGAGCAGGTGACGCTGCCGCGGCCACTACTGAGGGGGTGAGGGCAGCGCATGCACTCTCCCGAACCGGGGTTGGCGGCGTAGGTGCCTGCAGCGCAATCGCTGCAAAAGTCGCTGCCGGCGCCGGAAAAGCTGCCGGGCTCACAACGCTCGCACTTGGCGAGGCCAGGCGTGGCGGCGACGGTGCCGGGCTCACAGGGCGAGCACGTCTCGCTGCCCTCCGCCCCTGGTGCCGCGCTCGACATGCCGATGGGGCACAGCTCGCACGCCGCGCTCGAGCTGGAGCCTCTGTTCGGGTTGAAGCTGCCCGCGGGACAGGCCTGCCAGACAAGGCGAGAAGCGGCGCCCGCGTCCTCGCAGAAGCCGCCCTTTGGGCAGGCTTCGCAGACGGCGCTGCCCACGTCGGGGGAGAAGGAGCCCGCAGCACAAGGCAAGCACTCCTCCTGGCCGGTCTCTGGCTGGTATTGGCCGGGGGCGCAGAGGAAGCAGTCCGAAATGTTCGCCGCCCGCTTGTTGGGCATGTGGGTGCCGGCGGGGCACTCGTGTGGGAGGACCGATCCCTCTGGGCAGAAGTGGCCGAGCCAGCAGGGGCCGCTGCAGTCGGAGGTAGAGTGGTCCGACGCGTTCCCGTAGTGGCCCTCCGCGCAGAGCCTGTTGCAGCCGGACAGGTCGCCAAAGAGCTGGCCGACGCTCGGCATCCAGTAGCCGAGCGGGCAGTCCCACGTTAGAGGCGAGGCGGCGAGGATTGTGATGCTTCCTGGCGCAGAGTTGCCGGAGAAGGTCGTGTTGCGGAGGATCGAGTCGGTGGCAGCGATGCGGGAGGAGTAGAAGAGTGCAGCGGGGGTTTGGCTCGCGATGTTGTCGACAAACTGCGAGTTGGTGAGAGCTAGGCGCTCGATGCCAGTGAGATAAAGAGCCTACAAAAGAACACACAGTCTGGTCTCCCGTTTCAGTCTGTGCACCCTCTTGTGGAGGGGGCGCGCGGCACCGCTTGTGTGCCACTCGTGCAACCGACAAAGCTGGCCCCCTCCAGCGCGATGTCGCCGCTGTTCTCCACGGACATGCCTCCTCCGTTCTGCGCGAGTTGGGGCGCGCAGGCATTAAGCGGGGAGGGCGTCAGCGAGCGAGAGAGGGCGGGCAAGCCCAGAGCGGCCCTTTGGGAAAAATGTGCCGGCTTCGCCACCCCATGCAAGCGCGGCGTAATGGCGTGCGAGCGTGCGTGTGCGTGGGAGGCAAGCGCGTGCGGGCGTGGGAGACGCACATTGCGAGCCGTGCACTTGCTGAAGCTGGCGCCCACCAGCGCGATGTTGCCGCTGCTCCACACGTACATACCTCCTCCGTACTGCGCGAGTTGGGTGCGGGCAGGCATTAAGCAGGGAGGGCGTCAGAGAGCGAGAGAAGGGCGGGCAAGCCCAGAGCGGCCCTTTGGGGAAAGCGGGTCCTGCCACCCCATTGTCCCTCTGCCTTCTTCTGCCGCTTCCGGCGCGGCGTAATGGCGTGCGAGCGTGCGTGTGCGTGGGAGGCAAGCGCGTGCGGGCGTGGGAGACGCACGAAGGCAGCCGTGCACTCGCTGAAGCTGGCGCCTTCCAGCGAGACGTCGCCGCTGTTCCACACGTACATACCTCCTCCTTGCTGCGCGAGTTGGGGAGCGCAGGCGTAAGCGGCGAGGGCGTCAGCGAGAGGGCGGGCAAGCCCAGAGCGGCCCTTTGGGGAAGGCGGGTCCTGCCACCCCATTGTCCCTCTGCCTTCATCTGCCGCTTCCGGCGCGGCGATGGCGTGCTAGCGTGCGTGTGCGGGGCAGGCAAGCGTGTGCGGGCGTGGGAGACGCACATCAGCCGTGCACTCGCTGAAGCTGGCCCTCTCCAGCGCGACGTCGCCGCTGTTCTCCACGAGCATACCTCCTCCGTACTGCGCGAGTTGGGGCGCGAAGGCATAAGCGGCGAGGGCGTCAGGGAGGAAGAGAGGGCGGGCAAGCCCAGAGCGGCCCTTTGGGGAAAGCGGGTCCTGCCACCCCATTGTCCCTCTGCCTTCTTCTGCCGCTTCCGGCGCGGCGATGGCGTGCTAGCGTGCGTGTGCGGGCCAGGCAAGCGTGTGCGGGCGTGGGAGACGCACATCAGCCGTGCACTCGCTGAAGCTGGCGCCTTCCAGCGAGACGTCGCCGCTGTTCTGGTACACGAGCATACCTCCTCCGTACTGCGCGAGTTGGGTGCGCGCAGGCATAACCGAGAGAGAGGGCGGGCAAGCCCAGAGCGGCCCTTTGGGGAAAGCGGGTCCTGCCACCCCATTGTCCCTCTGCCTTCTTCTGCCGCTTCCGGCGCGGCGATGGCGTGCGAGCGTGCGTGTACGGGGGAGGCGAGCGTGTGCGGGCGTGGGAGACGCACATTGCGAGCCGTGCACTTGCTGAAGCTGGCGCCCTCCAGCGAGACGTCGCCGCTGCTCTCCACGTTCATACCTCCTCCGTTCTGCGCGAGTTGGGGCGCGCAGGCATTAAGCGGGGAGGGCGTCAGAGAGCGAGGGGGGGCATTCGCAGCATTCCTTCTCTCCTATGTGGCGAGGGCTTGCGGGGCCGAGCGGTGCGTGGGAGAGAGGGGCGACGCACCTCGGTGGCCTCGCAGCCCGTGAAGGACACGTCCTTCATCGCAAGGTCGCCAGCGCCATAAGCGCGCACCGCACCGCCTCTATCACCACGCCCGTCCACAAAGTGAAGCGCCTCCAGGTAGAGGCTGCAGCCGCTCGAGATGGAGAACATGCGGGAGCTCTTCTTGCCGTCGAGCGTCGCGCCCTCCCCGCTGCTCCGGACCGAGAGGTGCATGGCGCCGCTGCAACCGACATTGCTGCTAAAGGCAAGGCGGGCGCCCGGCGGGATGATGACGCTCGCGTTGCGGCCCTGGTCCACGGCCTCGTTGATCTCGTCCTGGATGTCTTGAGGCGTGAGGGCGAGGACCTCGCCGGGGACGAGCGGGGGCGACGGCTGCGAAGGCGGAGACAGAGGCGGCGACGGCGGAAGCGACGGCGGCGACGGCGGCGACGGCGGAGAGGGGGGCAATTGAGGCGGAAACGGCGGCGGCGGGGAGGGGAACGCCAGTGTCAGATCGTTGTTGGTCCAGGAGCCCTCGCAGTAAACCCGCCAGGTAGCCGTGCCGAGCGGCGGCGAGGAGGAGTCGTCCGAGTTGATGCGGGCGATGTAGTTACAGCTTCCGTCGCGATCGAGGTCGCTTGAGACGGCAATGCTCGGCAAATCGCTATCCACGATCCAGCGGGCAGTCCCTCCGCTGCCGCCGTTGCAGTCGGGGTCCCAGTAGATGTACTTCGACGAGGAGGGGGCGCGGTAGTACGGCGCTCCCGAGAAGGTGTAGCCGACCGCGACATACTCGACGTTGTCGAGGGCATCGCGTTGGCCAGCGCAGCCTCCGGTGACCACAAGCGGGGTCGGGAGCGGTGGGGGCGGCGAGGGTGGCAGCGGCGGCAGCTGCGGCGGTGACGGTGGCGGGGAGGGCGGCGCAAACGGCACCACAAAAGACTTCCGCTCCTCGGACCCAGAGGCAACGGTGAGGCCCTCTTGCCCGAGGCCCGACCAGCTGGCGCCGTCCCAGCCGTCGCCGTACGAGTCCTTCATGACGAGCTCGCACTCGACGCCGGGCGAGAGGGAGACGCCGTACTCGGCCTGGAAAGGCTCTCCGCTCGCGTAGGGCGCCGACGAGAGGACGACCGTACCGCCGCACCAGAGGTCCCAGCTCACCTCGCTAGGCCACGATCCCGGCGTCGTGGTGACGGTGTAGTATGCGAGCGGGTACGAGGGCGGAGATGGAGGCGGCAGCGGCGGCGGCAGCTGCGGCGGCGGGGAGGGCGGCGCAAACGGCACCACAAAAGACTTCCGCTCCTCGGACCCAGAGGCAACGGTGAGGCCCTCTTGCCCGAGGCCCGACCAGCTAGCGCCGTTCCAGCCGTCGCCGTACGAGTCGTACATGTGGAGCTCGCACTCGACGCCGGGCGAGAGGGAGACGCCGTACTCGGTCTGGAAAGGCTCTCCGCTAGCCTGGTCTGAGCCGGTGTAGGGCGCCGATGAGAGGACGACTTCGCCGCCGCACCAGAGGTCCCAGCTCGCCTCGCTAGGCCACGATCCCGGCGTCGTGGTGATGGTGTAGTATGCGAGCGGGTGCGATGGCGGAGGTGAGGGCGGAGATGGCAGATATGGCGGAGCAGGAGGCAGCAGCGGGGGCGGAGCAGGAGGCAGCAACGGGGGCAGCAACGGTGGCGACCGTAGAGGAAAAGGGGGCGAAGGTGAGGTGCCAGCCCGAGCCACCGGGAGGAATGGAAGCAGCAGGAGCAAGGCCACCGAGCCGCGGCTCCCACTCCGCCGGAAACGGACCGAGGCCGCAGCGACCGCCTGGTCGTGGCGCGCGCCCGCCAGCACGCCGCGGAGGTCCCACACGAGATACGCCAGCGCAGCCGGTTTGAGGTCCCGCAGCCCAAGAGCCATCAGCGCAGCGCGCTGCGGCGACGAAAAGAGCGCGTCGACGGCAGCTTTCGCGACGAGAATGATGCTGTTGGAGACCTCGCTGGCGACGCTCACCTCGTTGGAAGGTGCAGGGACGGGATGGTTGCCGAGGAGCATGGTCTCGAGGCGATTTGAGAGCGCGATGGGCTCCAAGGCGAGCTGCGCCGAATTGGCGCGAGTCTGCCGCGCCGCAACTGCTGGCGCCTCAGCGGTGCGGGTCGAGGCGGACGCGCCCGGGTCCTTCTCCACCGACCCAAGGGCATCCATCCGCGGCGCTGCGCCGCGGGATCGAGAAGCTGCGCGCTCGTGCTCGCCGGCTGGCCGGTCGGCAGGGCGCTTCAGGAGGGCGTTCGTGAGCGGCGACGACGCGGCATCAGGGCGAGCGCGCACCCCGGCTGCGGGTGGACGCAGCCGACCAGCCGTGCCATCCGACGGCACTGCCGGCGCGCCAGGCGCGCTGCTGTCCGCCATCGCCGCCGGCGGGGGCAGATCGGTAAAGATGGGCAAATGGCGACCGGTGGAAAGCCGGCGCGTTGGGGGGGCAAACCCTGGCCGGCCCTACGACCCCAGGTAAGGCCCAGGTGTGGCCTAGGGCATCAGAAGGGACCAAGAGGAGTCCAGTCTGAGCCATAGAGCCCATGTCTTTGCCCCCGAAGGTCGCGTTCAAATGCCCGGACGGACGTCACAGTGGTGTCCGGCCGGCGCGATCACCGACCGAGCTGTGACGCTCAGGGAAGCCAGATGAGGTGCTGGTTTCTTTGGCCAGGGCTGGCCTTCCCCCCAGGCTGGATCAGCTGAGCAAGGTTTGGGGATAATCCTATATTGGGATCTTCAGATATTTTGACGGATGACGGAAAATGGGCAAAAACGGGGTGATTTCGGCGGCGGGACGAGGATCAGGCTTCAGGGGAGAGTGCGACTTTTACCACTTCGATCGTCTCGGAGCGCCTCTTTTAGCATTTCGTCTCAAAAAGATTCGGCGCTCCGGGCCGGAGGCTCCGCGCGCCGGAGGTGCAGTAAGTAGTAGCTATCGTCCCGCGAAGTAGTTGGCCGTTCCCGCACACTATGGGCTAGAAAAATGCTGTGCTGCTCGCATCGAAAGCGCCCCTCGCAAAATTTTTGCGCGCCTGCGGCGCGCGACTTTTACCATTTTGCCCCGGGCGGGCCCACTTTTGTCGTTTTGCCCCAAATCTACGCCTATAGGCGTGCTTTTAGCGTTTTGACCCAAATCGGCCGAACTTGCTTTAGGATACCCTCAGGCTATAGACATGAGTTATGACGGGAAGCGCGTGGGCGATGGCTTCATTCATGATTAGATTGGCTCTGGGGTGTGTTGCGTAACTTGAGGCGTGTGTGTTGCGAACAAGGCGTTTAAGAAAATGTCGCTGCCTCGGTTATCGAGGGGAAATATCGAATAAGCGCCCTTCTCCATGCCATGGACCATGGAGAAGTTTACCTTACCTTACCTTTGCCTTGCTTGACCAGCGATGGGCCCTTGAGCAAACTCGCGCGGCTCAGCGCCCAGAGGTGTCGGGTACACTCGACAGGGGCGCAAGTGCGATGGTCGCCAAGAATGATCTGTCTCCCCGTCGTCGCTAAAGTCGTCGTCAACGTCGGGGTCAGCGGTCAAGGAGCCGCCGAATTCCGAACCACCAGAGTGGTAGTATGCGCGAGCGGCATCCGCGTCCCTAACGCTGAGGAAGAGACTGTTGTCGGAGCCGGCTGCGATCGCACGTAGAACATGACGCTTGCGCCCCCCCCCCCCCCCACCGAGCAGAAGCAGCAAAAAAGAAAATCGAGTGGGGACAGCCGGTCTTAGCCATTGTACGTGTGTGTGTGTATATGCCCGCCTCGCGCTCCCGCGCCAACGCCGCGCTTCGCACGCCGCCGCCGCCGCCGTCTGCTGACAGCGCGCCGGGTGGTCAAGTCCCAAACAACGTCCTGAAGGCGGCCGAGAACGGCCGATTGGGAGCGGTGCGATCGTGGCTGAATGACGGCGGGAAGGCCGACACTCTCACTGAGCTACCCTCTGAGGTCAGCGGCCGTCCGGTTCCATGCACCCTGCTGATGATCGCCGCACAGCACGGGCACGCGCAGATTGTCGAGCTCCTCCTGAATCGTGGCGCCGACATCAACCTGCAAACCAGTCTCGGCACCACTGCGCTCAGCACTGCCGCCTACTACGGCCGCGAGCGAATGGTGGAGATGCTGCTGCAGCACGGAGCGGAAATCGGGACGGCGCTGGTATCTTCCGCCCACGGCGGCAAAGAGCGGGTGGTCGACCTGCTGCTGCGGCGTGGCGCTGAGATCGACCTGCAATACAAGAACAGTGGCTCCGCGCTAATTCTCGCCGCCTTCTTCAACCACCCCGCCGTCGTGCTCCGCCTGCTGCGGGCGGGCGCAGACATGACGTTGCGCGACGCGAACGGCAAGACGGCGCTGCAGTTGGCCAAGAAGAGGGGCCACGCCGAGTGCGTCGAGGCGTTCAGGACGCATCTCGGGGAGGTGGCTGCGAGCCGGAGCAAGGCGCCGTCGGCCGAGGCAGGCGGCGCAGGCGCGGCGGGTGCGAGTGCCGCGGCCTCTGCTTCGAGCGGCGAGGGTAGCGCGGAGGCCGAGCCGAGCAGCGGGGCAGTGCCAGACGAGGTCGTGCAAGCGACTGAGCGAGGCGATGAGGAGGCGGTGCTGGCGTGGCTCGACGGCGGCGGGCGGATCAACGCGACGTTCGAGTTCGTCTTGTCGCACGGCGAGCGTGTGAGCGGCATGACGCTGCTGATGCTCGCAATGATTTGCGGTTGCGAGGGGCTGGCCGAGGCGCTCTTCCAGCGCGGTGCGGATGTCTCGTTGCAGAACAGCAACGGCATCAACGCGCTGATGCTCGCCGCCACATATGCTGGCTTCGAGAAGCTGGTAGAGTTGGCGTTGCGGCACGGCGCGGAGATCAACGAGCAAGCTACTTTCGGCAGCACTGCACTGATTCGTGCCGCTTTCTACGGCCACGAGAAAGTGGTCGACACGCTGATCTGGCACGGCGCGGCGATCGACCTGCAAGACAACAACGGCGCCACCGCACTGATTCGGGCCGCTTTCTTCGGCCACCCCGCCGCCCTCCTCCGCTTGCTGCGGGCGGGCGCAGACGTGACGCTGCGCACTACGGATGGCAAGACCGCGCTGCAGTTTGCCAAGGACAAGGGCCACACTGAGTGCGTGCGCGCCCTCGAGGAGCATGCGGCGGCCGAGAAGGCGGCGGAGAAGGCGGCGGCGGAGGCGGCGTGGGCCGCAGGAGCGGCGGAGAGGGCGGCGCAGAGGGCGGCGGAGGAGAAGGAGGCGGCGCGGCACGCGGAGGAGCTGCTGGCGGAGGTCGAGGCGGAGAAGCGCGCCAAGGGCAAGAAGGGCAAGAAGAAGAAGAAGAAGGGCGGCGGGGCGGGCGGGGCGGGGCCGTCGCAGGAGCCCGAGGAGGGTGCCGAGGCGCCGTCGGAGGCAGACGCAGCCGAGGCGGCGAAGAAGGCCGAGGAGGCGAGGCTTCTCCGGCTTCTCGAGACGCTCACCGAGGAGAGGATGCGGCTCGGCATCACGCCGGAGAGCCAGGCGGCGGCGTCGGCAGAGGTGGCTGAGGCGGCGCGGTTGGCCAAGGAGGCGGAGGCGGCGGAGGCGGAGGCGGAGGCGGAGGACGAGGCTGCCGCAGAGGAGGAAGCGGTGACTGAGGCGGCGGCGGCGGCGGCAGCGGCGGCGGTGGCGCTGGCGGCGGCCGAAGCGGCGGCGGCCGAGGCGAAACTGGCCGCTGCCAAGGAGAAGCGCGCGGCCACTGCCGCTGCGAGGGCCAAGGCGGCGGCCGCCAGGATGGCGGTGGAGGCGGCCCAGCGCGCATGAGAGTGCGTACGCAACGGGCATGCAGCAACAGTGAGCACAGAGTACCACGGGGAGCACGGGGAAGTGGAGGGGGGGGGGGGGGGGAAGGAGAAGTGGGTATGTGTGGCGCGGACCCCTGGACGTGGAGCGTGTGGAGAGGCTGGAGGCAGGAGGTACTACAGTATAGAGGACCTGCCGACCAGGTGTCACCTCTACCCTCTGGACCACAGTCCACACGCGTATATACACAGTATTGACAATTGTTTCATTGAATATGTATGTATCTAAGGAATGAAGTCAACTTTGATGGGGGCAGCCAAATTTGTCGGTGGACCGCAAATCGTGGAGTTGCGAGTCACGCTCGGGCGGACAGCATCGATGCACGATGCAGTCGCCGGACGCGGCGGCGAGGCACACGGCTCACGGGCGCCGGCGTGGCGCGTCGGCAGGCCCACCACGAGCGGATGCGCGACGAGCGCGCTCGGGAGGCGGCCGCGGGCAACGCGGAGCTTCCGCCGGAGGACGACGCGGTCGAGATGGTGAGCGCCGCCCAGCTGCTGGACAGCGTGGCGGAGGCGGGCCCGAACTACACCCTGCTACGCAGCAAGGAGACGAAGGCGAAGCGGCGGAAGCGCAAGCGCGAGGATGGGGACGGCGCGGGACTATCACGCCGTGGCGGTGCTCGCGGGCAAGCTGTATGCTGTGGGTGGCCGCCTCAGCTCGGTGGAGCGGTACGACCCGGCAGCAGGCGCGTGGGAGGCGGTGACTTCGATTATGGCGGCGGCATGGGCGGCGGCGCGGGTGGACGGTTTCGCTGGCTTCATGTAATCCTCGCCGTTGCACGAGGTGCGAGAGGTGGTTGTTTGGATGGGGAAAAGGAGAGGGGCTGGGAAGGGTTCACCGACCTTCACCCAAACGACATGCCAACAAAGAAGAGTACCAATGTTCTCTGTGACCGCCACCAAACCCTCGCGCCGCGCGCAGGCCGCCAGGCCACCTGAGCGGCAGGTCCGCGACGACCGACGTGTCGCGCCTCAAAACACGCGGAAGATCTGCCTCGTCAGGTAGCTCGAGTGCCACCCACCCCGTGCGCGCGCTCGGAACGGCGCGGCAAGGGCGGCGAGGTCCTGTGAGGGCAGGAGGACACTGATGACGTACATGCCCCGAATGCACAAAAAGGAGAGGCGGCAGAGGCGGTGGGAGCACCTGGCTGGCGCCTGGCCGCGCAGCGGAGGCAGCGAGCTCACGGTCCCACTCCGCCCGCCATTCGAGCGGCAACGGGGCGGCAGCGGGGCACGGCGCGGTGCAGTGGGCCGTGTCGCCCGCCTGCGAGGCGGCGCGAGAGGGAAGGGGCGGGCGGCGCGTGACAAGAGCCTCGCGGGGGAACGGTGCAAGAGACGTGTGTCCTGTGTCGCATCTCGTTCGCTGCCACGAGCCCCGTCGGCGTCCAGCAGGTGCGCCAGCAAGCCTGTGCACATTTGGAGGGCGTGAAGAGGCCCTGCCCACCCCGTCGCCTCCCGCGGGTGCGCCCGCAGACCATGGGTGTGTGCAGGACGGAGGGCTTCTCGCGGTAGCCGGGCCGGACGGCGGGGTCGCGATAGGCCGGGTCGGTCGTCCACGTGCGCGAGCACTGGAAGCGCCGCTCGTCGGGGGCAAACTGCTCCCAGAGCGGCCAGCAGCCGCCGAGGTCAAACTCAGGCACGACGTCCCCCGAGCAGCCGACGCAGGAGGCGAGGGCGGAGCGGGCGCCGCGAAGCTTCCTCTCCTGCCTGACGGCGCGCGCCGAGAGCGCCTCGTTGGCGGCGGACAGCTTCTTGAGCCGGCGGCCGAGCTGGGCGGTGGAGAGGCGCGCCTTCCGACAGACCGCCGAGGTGAGCTGCGATGAGCCGTGAAGCCGCTGGGTGGCGGAGAGAAACGCGCCGCGAGCTGCTGCTTGAACCGGGCGCGGACGGCGAGGTAGACGCGCTCGTCGACCGACACGCGGCCACAGAGCCGCTCGAGGACCTGTG